TGTTCCAACGAACTAATATGTCCGTAATAGAGCTTTATTTCATTATAGCTTTCATTATCGCAGCGGAAGTCTTATAGCTAACCAGCTTCCATATCGCTACGTTTATATCGTTCTGCTTCTTCACACAACCTGCCAAGTTGTACAAGCTCCTTTCATTGGACGCTCAGCTGAACTGACGTGTCGGGCTGTGCGACATTCCTGAATATAAATAAAATGTGCCACATTTCTTTCACAAAATGAACAGAAAAGAGCTTTCAACTGATCAGCGCGAACGCATAATCGGCGCATACCTGAATAGAGTGAAGCAAAACGTTATCGCTACTCAACTGAACATTCCCACTAGCACGGTGAATGATACAATTAAGAAACGTCCCGGACGACCGAAAAGCGCTTACTGACCGGGATAGACGGAACCAGGCCGGCTTCAATGACACCAACGTTCCAAATTACCGTAACGGTGTTGCAGGACAGACTCAAGGGGCTAGAATCGCAAACCTCCTTGCAAACGGAGCAACCGATTTTATGAATCTGAACATGGTTCTACAACGCATAAGTTAAATTCTAGTCTTGAAACGACATTACATGTTAATACTGTTAGAAAATATCGAGGGTATTCGAAGTTATTTTGCAAAGAAAAAGCCATACTTAAGAGAAGCAACGACGAAGTCTATTAAGGAAAAACGTGATTGAAACAAATAGTATGGTCAGATATACGAGCTTTTTGAAAATATAGGTGTATCTAGAATATCGTGTGTAAAATTATTTTCAGCTTTTACAATTTCGAAACTGAGTTGGGATGATATTGATTATATTATTGTAGCTTGTACTGCACCTGATTCACGTAATCTGACCTCTGGGTCAGGTTGCCAAAGAAAAATTTGACCTTTTAATGCCCAGTATCATCTGTACGACCATTTAATGATAACTAAATTCGTATATTTCGGTACATTAATTCTATAGTATATTGAGCTTCCTCCTAATTGATCTACATGAAATGTATGCAGCATGCGGTAGTTAGTCGAGCTTAGTTTAAAACCCCTGCCCATAGTAATAGTAATCGGGCAACCAATCGTCACACAGGCGAATCAAGAGAAGCGGCGAGTCTCGTCAAGCAAGTGAGTTTTAACAAGGAGCGGAAAGAATGCTTATCTTTAATTTATTTATTTAGTTCTAAGAGCGTGTCCCAACCCAAACGAATGTATAGAGGATTACAACATGATATCGAGTATGTATCAGCAGAGATTATTCGATGAGTAAGTTTTTTCATACAAACAACCAATAGCATGCAATGAGAACACTTCGTGGCAAAAAAGTCTACTGATTTACTCTTTAAATTATTCCGATTGCCTGATGTTTTCTCAGCGAAGCAATAATATTATTAATGGCTATAGACAGGGGTTGACTGTATTTTAACCCGTGACACAAAAATCCAGTGATTTATTTTGCAGCTAACATTAGAACCATACGATGTCAGATAACGTTAATGTGCTGGCGCGTCTTAACGTGTCAACAAATCTAACCACAGACGCATCACAATTTTGATTATTCGATCAACCTCCATAAACTTATATAAATACTGTACCGTGTTTCTAAACCAACACACTCTTTCTAAACCAACATACTCTACTTTCTTCTTTCTAAACCAACGCACTCTACTTTCCTCTTTCTAAACCAACACACTCTACTTTCTTCTTTCTAAACCAACATACTCTACTTTCTTCTTTCTAAACCAACACACTCCTTTCTTCTTTCTAAACCAACACACTCTACTTTCTTTTTTCTCGAACGCTACAATGGTAGGCTCTATTGTACAATACAATACAAATGTGTTTAAATTTAAAAACTAACAAGTTTGCGTCTTTCCAGGCACAACAACAACAGGCACAACAACAACAGGCACAACAACAACAGGCACGACAACAACCTGACTTCAACAACTTGTCACATCTTCTAGGAGGTGTCGCTCAGGAAGTTAGCTTAATGACTAACTTACCAATCATAAATCTGCAAACTCAACTTAACGCTATGCATACTCAACTTAACGCTATACAAACGACCTTTGATCGTTTTAATATTATACTCGATCGTATGAATACTATGCTGCAAGCATTGTAGGTCTTTTCACTTTTTAATTGTACAATGGTTAAATAGTCATTAAAATGATGTATTATTTTATTATTTAGAGACATGCGAAGTTTTGCCAGAGCGTTAAACTCACGTGTTAATGATCCAACTGCAGATATTCAACCACTCCCAAACTTACAAAATCAGACCCCGAACACTTTTCCAGATAACATATCGCAACTTCATGGATTAACCGGTTAGTATTTCATACGCTTTTTTTTTCTACTTTACCAATAAATAAATATTAATATATATTATATTACAGGGGCATCTATAAACACTCTCTTAAGTTTCTACGGTCTGCCAAGTCATGGAAGACTGGAAGAACGACGAAAGATTCTAGCACAGTATATTGGAATTAAACTTCTTTAGGAAAAGCTTAGCTTGATTACGTATTCTTATCGTGTGCTGCCTGATAGTATGACAATCGGGAAAAGCTTTGCATTACATAGTGATAGATTGAATTCAAGTTACCGTGGCATCTCCTCAGTGAAGTAAGGAACTATTTTTTTACTTGTAGATCTTCTTTCTGTATTTTGTCAGACTTTATCCGTCGAAACGTAAGATTTTCGGGATATGACTTTAGTATTAGGTTAGCCTGGTAATAAATAATCTTTATGAAACGATGTTTGATTTATATCTACGTCTTCATTTTTACAACCGTTAAGAACTATACCTAAAAATACAAGTGCTACTGGCCTATTAAATAGATGAAGAAATTTTTGTTCCTAACAACTCTTGCAAACATGTTCCATACGATTAAAACTCACTCACCTGGATTTTACTGTGACCGTCGTTATTATTTTCCCTAGCTGAGACATAGAATGAGACAACCACGCGCTGTGGACACTGAAGAGGAATATTTGGGACGTCATAGATTTTCGTAAATGCTTTTGCAACTTTCGAACTGTTTTTTGACGTCAACGGTATAGAATATTTGAATCTACTACAACGTTAAGAACCCATTTGAATATCTTTTTATGTACTTTATCATTGGTAAGACGCAACAGATCACACTGATGCACACACTGTGGGCATGAAATTTTACCGTAACTGACTCTCGGAGTACGTGTATCTTTCGGCGATGGAGCGTATTTTTGCCACTTATTCTGATTTATGAGCCTGTCACGCACTTTCTCAAATCGAAATCGAAATCCTTCGCGCGCAAGATCTTTCCATAAGCTCCGAGGATTAGAGTGATACCCAGTGGGTTGGTAGAACATTAGCCCGCAACATAGAGCTATTTCCTCGTCAGGATTTATATATACAGTAGGAACACTCATATTTTAGATAACATTAAAATAATATTGAAATTGTTAATATATGCTATTCAGTATGTTGTTTTTCCGAGACATTAATCATTTTGAGATTCAAGCTCAACGCTTTCGAAAAAAAAAGTTATTATTTATATAACTGCATATTCCACTGCACACTGAATTATCACTACAAAAGAAATTTAATGGCAACTCAAGCTCCCACTCCTCCTCCAATGCCAAGAATGGATAACCTTGTTGGCGTATATAATATAAATAATTTCTGTCAAATAATTAGAGACTTTTTAATGTACGTTTTCCGGAATAATAGACTTGCAATTGAGCGGGCATTAACAAATCTCACAAATGCTTACAACTAGTCTCAAAATGAGATAGTAAGACTGAGCAGCGATTTAGCAAAATCAATGGAAAATAAGCGGATTGCTAATGAAGATGCTAAGGATTATAGTGCAGACTTGCTAGTTACATGGAACAAATGTGTTGAAAAATATAAGGGCGAGCAAAAAAAGCGTATTTTTTGGAGAGTAAACTGCGAAATTCTACTGACAAAATTTCAATTGTCTAAAGCCAAACACATGAAATGGAAGCATAGGTCAAAAGTTAAACATGAAAAATATAACAAGTGGAAGCTTAGAACGAGATTAGTTTATGATGCTAATTTAGAATCGGACGAGCGAATTAATTTTTTAAATCAGAAAATTTATTATCAGGAATTTACCTGCCAGGTCGCACAACCCGACACGTCGTACAGTCCATAATATTTCTATTTATGGAGGAGAAGCCATCTAAGTGTCCAATGAAAGGATGATATTTGAGCTTGCACGACCTGCGACATGGCAGGTAAATTCCCGATTATAGAAAATTTTAGATTTACAGAATAATAACCCGCATCAAAACAATAATCAACATACAGGCATGGCAGGATACGCACCTCCAAAATTTCGCGGTTTAGCTGGCGAAGATCCAGCAGTATTTATAAGAGATTTGCGACAATGGTGTGAGGCTTCTCCCAATCACAATCCAAATGCGGACATCAAAACCGAATTCGCATTGATGGACTGTTTGAAGCTTGTTTAGAAGACATGCTAAGGATTGGTATGAAAATAAGATTAAAGGTAAAAATTGGGAATTGCAGAATATTATAATTAGCGATAATACAGGTCTTGCAAATCTTGCTGCTATCAATGGATTGGCTAACAATAATGCATTGCGCGCTATTAACGTCAATCAGTTTAGAGGCGGAGCTTCATGTAAGAAATACTGTCCCAGCCAACAATAATGCAATTGCCAATCCATTAGTACCCGCTCACACTGTGTGGGATGAAGATTGGTCTATATCAGGTGGACGACCAACTGATTTGGTCCCAAGGTTAAATTCGAAAATAACGTCCTTAGAAGAAAAAATATCACCAGCTCAAATACACCCCCAGAAGAATGAGGCATTAGAAACATCTATACACAGTGAACCTGGATATAACGAAACCTGGATATAACGAATTTCGACTATAATGAAGTTTTTTCGATGTCCCAAAACCTTGTCTAATAAAGTTTGCCGGATATAACAAAGTTAATTAAGAAGGTAACGAAGTTTTAAATTAGTTGGCTAATAAGAATATAACAAAGTTTTCTTATAATGAACTTTACTATATTGTAATGAAGTTCATCATATTATAATAAAGTTCACTATAATTTCGGCAATCTTTCCCATTAACAAGAACTCATAGCTCTCATTGACCAAATATCACATATTTCTGCAGAAGAGTATATTCTAGTTGATAAACAAAGTTGTGAGTGAGGAACGGAACAAATGACAGATGAGAAATTTGTTGTCAAGTCAACTAATGAATGTGAACTGTATGATATTATGACATTATGGCTTATAAGCATATAGATCATTGTAACATACACCTATCTATCGATGGTTGTGTTTCTTGTACGTTGTTGGTATTTAGTGTGCATACAACTTATCTATAGCTCCACGTAGTGATAAGACAAGACTGAAGCAGAATGCCAACTTGATTCATACATCATGCTATAATTCGGGTCCGTATTATTTAACTCACACAGCGGCCCCCCCAAATTTCTTCGAAAATTCTGCGATGTGATTGGCCCTGATTTCTTCGAAAACTTTGATTGGCTCGTTACAAGCATGCACATATAAGGATTTAATCTAGAGTAATTCCAGTCACTTTAGTCCTAATTTCACGACCAGAGTTAAGACATTAAAAATGTTACACTTGACGTCATGAAGTCCTTGGAAAATTTTTGCTCTAGTAACGTACGCTAAATGCAACGAATAGAGATCACACATAAAGGCATTCGAAGCTCTCAAACTCAACTATAAACAAAGCCAAACTACAAGCGGGTAACTACATATCTATGCCGTTCGGAGTATATTAGCTTACGGTCGATAATAACACGTTAAACAACATATACTTTAATCCTCTGCAAAGCAACTTTTGTTCTTTTCGTTCACATGGTAAGTGCCTACGGTTTACTTACGGTTAATGATAAGTACGACGCAATAAGTTTATTAGTTAAGCGTCACTTTTTACCATTTTATGAGCATCAAGATGAATACATATTGTACTAATTGATCTATGAAACTATGATAATATTATTTAGACGCTTTGATGCTTTTGAGGCACAAGATATCCCATTCCGTGAATCATAATAATAATGAGGAAGGTTAAGAGGTCAATAGTCGACTGGATCATGTTTTAACTTTTCTTTATGTGTATTGTATTATAATAACTGGATCACAGCGATATCATACTTAAGCGTTGTTTTATCATCAACGAGAAGACTGTCAATTCCAACAAATATTCTATCGCAATATAGAGCATGTATGGAAATAACGTTACGGAATGAAGATGAAGATTGCGTATATAAGTGATGATTAGATAAAGGTACAATTTGCGTATAGCTACATACACTAATCGGTACAGTAAAATAAGACTTTTCTTTTCCGACTTCTAACAAATATTCCATCTATCGCAATATAGAGTATGTATGGAAGTAACGTTACGGAATGAAGATGAAGATTGCGTATATAAGTAATGATTAGATAAAGGTACAATTTGCGCATAGCTACATACTAATCGGTACAATAAAACAAGCTTTTCTTTTCCGACTTCTAGCAAATATTCTATCGATACAGAGCGTGTATGGAAACAACGTTACGGAATGAAGACGAAGATTGCGTATATAATAATAAGTGATTATACAAAGGAACAATTTGCGTATAGCTACACTAATCGGTACAATAAAACAAGATTTTCCTTTCCGACTTCTAATAAATATTCTATCGCAATACAGAGCATGTATGGAAACAACGTTATGGAATGAAGACGAAGATTGCGTATATAAGTGATAATTATATAAAGGTATAATTTACGTATGAGTTAGTTAGCTAAGCTAACACCAATCGGTACAATAAAACAAACTTTCTTTTTCGACATTTTGTGATGTCTAGTGATTATAACAAACTTGTCAGTATAACAATACTGTACGCAAATGTATTCAACGAGAACTCCTTTACTTGCGAATGTATTTGATAAGAACGTGTTGACCTCGCGCTTACAAACTGGATAGTTCAATTGGCATTTACGCGAATATACATGCTTTATCCGAATTCCGTCATCATAGACATGTAACAAACAAATAAGTATCTTTATTTCGGAATAAAATGGGTCGCATACGCTATTTCTACCGTGATTTGGCTGTTAATATTACTAACATTATTCTATTCAATGGGATATGATTATTTTGAATATTAGATCAGTTATTATGTATTAATTTTGATGCTCATAAAATGGTAGAAGCTATGCTTAATCAATAAACGTATTGCTACTCCTCATCATTAACCGTAGGCACTATCATGTGAACGAAAAGAGCAAAATTTGCTTTACAGATTGTTTAACGTGTTATTATTAACGATAATAATAAGCTAATGTCCTCAGAGCGTCATAGATTCAGACGCATATTAACTGTTTGTAGTTTATAGTTGAGTTTGAGTGTTATTTGTGTGATCTTTATTAGTTGCACGTAGATGACGTCAAGTGTAACATTTTTAATGTCTTAACTCTGGTCGTGAAATTAGGACTAAAGTGACTGGAATTACTCTAGATTAAATCCTTATATGTGCATGCTTGTAACGAGCCAATCAAAGTTTTCGAAGAAATCAGGGCCAATCACATCGCAGAATTTTCGAAGAAATTTGGGGGGGCCGCTGTGTGAGTTATTCGGGTCCGTATTATTTCATCGACGATCATTTCACCGACAATTAACTACCAAAAAAGGATAACTTCGAAATAATGTTGGTGAAGATTTGTCGGTGAAATGATTGTCGGTGAAATGATTGTCGACGAAATGATTGCCTCCCCTATAATTCCCGATCTGATATAAATGATTTAACATACGAAAATAAGCACCTCCATACAATCTTTCTAAATGGTTCTACAGCATGTGACTGTTTATTTACACGTATTACACAAAGTTGTTCTGTCACTCGCCGTACCGCATAGGTAATGCTGATATCATATTAAGATATCATTAGATCAATTTATTACGCGTGGCTTATCGGTAGTAAATTACCCCACTGGTCTACCGCACGTGACAATTATAAACTTTGACTTGTTAACCAGTGAAAAAATTTTATTTACTGACTGGATATAACGAAGAAAAAGGTTGGAACGGTCCACTTCGTTATATCCAGGTTCACTGTGTAAACAAAAACTCGTTGTTACTTGATTAATAACAATTTTTTCAGCCATCTCTACCGGCTAACTCCGCAAGCCAACTTTGTGAGCCAATATCCGTGAGCAAATTCCTGCAATGACGATGCAATCACAAACTCGTCGTCATTTGAGTAAATAAACTTTTTTTTTTATCCTTTACTGGCTAACTCCGCAACCAACGCAATCACAAACTCGTCGTCACTCGAATGACGATACAAATGCAAACTCATCATTACTGAATAGTGACTGACTTTTTCAGCTAACTCCTCAGCTGACTTCCTCAGCAAATGACGATGCAAACGCGGTCTTGTCGTCGGTATAACCTGAAGTCTCAGTGGGTATAACCTAAACTAAGTGGGTATAATATAATTCCACTTAGCTTCAAAAACATTATCACTTGAGATGAAACATGGATACATTTCTACACAGTTGCAAGTGAACAAGCCAACAAAGTTTGGCTTGGGCATGAGGAGAATAGGCCTCAAATTGCACGAACTGCACAAAACAGTAAAAAATGCATGTTTTGTATTTTTTTTTTCTATTGGCATTTGTTTCTGCTAAGGAAGGGTTGAAAGCGTTAGAAATAGTCTGTTGCAACAGTCTAGAGACTGTTCAGATGAGATTAGGAAGTTAACTAGCATAAAAAATACCAACAAATGATTTATTCTGAATCTGCGACATTAGTAAATTTTTACGCCACAATAATAAAATTTAAATCATCTTGTTGATCTCTCCTTTTATAGTATGCAATATGCACGTTCACATTATGCAAATAGCTAATACAGTAGATCCCACTAGGGACCGGGGCTCCTTTATGCAAATGAACAGATTATGCAAATATACGTTATGCAAATAGACAGGTGCGACTGTAGTATGTTGTTGTTTATAATGTCCGCCTGCCTTGTTTGTGATGCTACGAATATCTAACTTGTTAATTAATGTGCTGGCGCGTCTTAACGCGTCAACAAATCTAACAACAGACGCGTCGTAATTTTGATCAGCCTCAATAAACCTATATAAATACTGTACCGTGTCAGCACCTAGTGCGTCTTTTATTAAAACAAAAACTTAAGAAGACAAAAAAAACCAAAACACTCTACTTTTTTCTTGTTTTAGGTAGGCTCTATTGTACAATGCAATGTGTTTAAATTTAAAACTAACAAGTTTGCGTCTGTCTTTCCAGGCACAGCAGCAACAACCACAACCACAACCACAACAACAACCTGATCTCAACAACTTGAGTCGTCTTCTAGGAGGTGTCTCTCGGGAAGTTGGCTTAGTGGCTAATTCACCAACCATGAATACGCACACTCAGCTTAATACTATTCAAACGACCCTCGATCGTATGAATACTATGCTGCAAGCATTGTAGGTCTTTTCACTTTTTAATTGTACAATGGTTAAATAGTCATTAAAATGATGTATTATTTTATTATTTAGAGACATGCGAAGTTTTGCCAGAGCGTTAAACTCACGTGTTAATGATCCAACTGCAGATATTCAACCACTCCCAAACTTACAAAATCAGACCCCGAACACTTTTCCAGATAACATATCGCAACTTCATGGATTAACCGGTTAGTATTTCATACGCTTTTTTTTTCTACTTTACCAATAAATAAATATTAATATATATTATATTACAGGGGCATCTATAAACACTCTCTTAAGTTTCTACGGTCTGCCAAGTCATGGAAGACTGGAAAAACGACGAAAGATTCTAGCACAGTATATTGGAATTAAACTCCTTTAGGAAATCAACAAGACACAAAAAATGCTTAGCTTAACTACGCATTCAGCTGAATACATCGACTATAAGTTTGGAATTCTGTTCTTTACAAATCAATTTTGGATTATACAATTACATTGTTCAGCTAGCTACGGATATATTCAAAAGTGTGTTTGTTTAACAAACTTATGAAAAATCCTCTTGAATAATATTATGCCCATCTGGATTTTCGCTAAAGAATTAGTAAAGCACAGTCAGTAATTATATAGATCAATGATTTCAGCTACTTCCCGCTCCCAAATTTGCGTTTGGTCTATTATTTATTATACCGTAATAATCCGATGCATCACAAACTTTTTTATGTCGTATTGATAATTTGCGGAGACGCTTACGTTTGGGCAGCATTCTTACCCTCATGAATTAAAATAGCATGCCCAGAGCCTATTTTCCTTAAAAGTGAGGAGCTAATACCATAAGATGCTAAGAAGTTATTAATAGTATAAACATTTACGTTATCATCTTCACCTTTTAAAAGAATGGAAATCTTTTTGGTATAGCCTTTTCGATCCAGATAAGTAATTCCCGAGCCCGTATCGGATTTTTTCCATAGATAGAAATGGTCGAGGTTCATTATTTTTGTTTCTAGCATATCAGTACAGTACCAAGAATATACCAGTTTGCGCCATTCGGTTTGTAATAGTTAATATAAAGGCCTTCCACATCTGCTGGTCGCATACATACGTACGTAACATTATCATTATATCTATTAAATTTTGCAGCCGTTCGATTGGATATATCGCATTTTTGTAACCGCTCTTGCACCTTTTCATGTAGCTTCTATTGTCAAATAATCAGCACCCGACGTGGGTACCACAGGCGTTTTCTGCTATGGTGCAAACGGTTTAGTCGCATCCCCAACATTTTCCAACAACTTTGAAGTGTAAAGGAATTTTATTGGATCAAAAGAATACGTAGTTTAATAGCTCTCGATATGGTCTGTGATGTTACGTATTCTTTCCATCCATTTTATTATAAAATTTTGTTACAGTTAACAGCGAGATGCCCTAATATACAATTAGTGGATACTTGCCTTTATTATAACGATATACCAATAGTGATGAACTTCTTTATCATGTGATTCAGTGAACCACTCTGCTTTTAAATTTGAGATCATCGTTTTAAACCAGGGAAGAGTGTTTTGCTTATGGGACAACTTTTGCAGACATATTGATAAGAGTGTTTCCGCCAATAATGGTAGACTATAGCATCACGTGATGTGGCAGAACACTGCTTAATTTTTGCAGTGATCGATAAGCCTCTGAATCCTTCCAAACAGTTGCAGGAGATCGATATCGCTTAACTGCAAAAACAGCTGCCTTACCTGAAAGTCCAAGTTGTTTATCACCATCAAAGCGCGTATCCTCACCCTCTATACAAAAAGTGTGTTGGCAATTGCTTCAGAATATTTTGCTCGGCATCTCGAGATTGTCTAGTGCGTTATTTAATTTTGGCATAAAACGTTAGAATTTGACCAATAAAATCACGCAATTTTATTATGGTAATAATCGACATAAATGTCGTTAATGTAAGACTTTATTGTCCAACTACAGATAAACTGCTAAAGCTGGTTTTAACATATACATAAGTATAGA